CCTTAATGATTCTATGATTCTATATATTTCTATATATTTTATATATAGACGGTAGCGTGGACGTCAGCGGTCACTACATGGGACAGTCTGGGAGCTCCTCTGGTCATCCTGTCCTGTGGAATTAGGACCTATAGAGTCCTCCAGAGCATGAGCGTGCACTGAGACCTCATCTATCTCCTGGTCCTACCTGCCTAATTAATTAGTTCAAAGATGTCCCAGTACCTCTGGAGAACGACACAGCGAAGAGGATGATGATCAGCAAGAAGGAGAGGGCCAGCAGCAAGTATACCGTAATAAAGGATCTCAGCTTCTGCTGGAAGATGTTTCTGTCTTTAAAAGAAAAAAAAAAAAAAAAGAGATGTGAAAATATTCCCCTCAGGTCACTGGGATTTTTTCATAGCTCCTCTGGTTCCATTTATAGAAGGGTTAATAAATAACCCGGAATAGTTAACTATTTGCTACAGAAGCCAAAATTTTGATGATAATTCCTGTTCAGACCAACCTGGGGGGCTGAAAGCACCCCAAAACGGACGGTTGTCACACCGTGCGTTGTGTTAGCACCGGAGTGGCCTTGCTAAAGGTCAGGTGATCTCAGGTACCACATAAGCAAAATAAAAAGAAACGATAAGCTTACACCATGTATTTTGGGGCTAGGACATGTTTTTAAACCCTCCTGGCTGTCTAGTAACCCTTTTCAAATGGGAAATGGTTCCCCGAGTGACAGTCCGCGGTCTGGAGGGCTCTTTGCTGTCCCTAGTTGGCATCAGGTGCCCTTCTCGGAGGGCTTGAACCTTGGAAATACTCATGGGTTCAACTTTGGGAGGTTCGCAAGGGTTTGCTGGGCCACTCGGTTTGGGGAGCTCGATTTGGGAAGGCTCCGGGAAAAGCCTAATTTTACTCCGGTGCAGGAGACTTCCAAGGCTGAACCTTCTCAGGTGTTGCTGGTTGGGGACCGTCAGCTTCACACCACCAACAGACCTTCATCTCAGTGACAGCCCACAGCTGCGGCAACGTCCCTTTCCCTCATCTTCCATCTGAGCCTCAACCCCAGGGACAACCTCATCATCCCCCTCCCAATCAATCAACCCCGTTAGAGCTAATTAGCCAAAGTTGCCTAAGCAGAAGAGGAAGGAGAGCAGGGACCTTCCTCTCCCTCAGCAACCAAGCACGTCGGTGGGGAAAGACCATGCTACAAGGTAGAGTCTCGTTACCCTCTTCGCTCCTGCCCATCTCCTCGAGGTGGTGGGTTGAAGGGCTGGCGTGGCTGAAGTTTACCTCGAAAAACGTGCAGATCATCGTGAAGATGTTCCTCGTCCATCCCGGTGAGCTCTGGCTGGGAGGGGGGGGATGCAGCTTAGGACCAAGTAAGCAGAAGTTTTTTCACCCGGATCTCTGGAAGAGAGGACTTGAAATACCTCTAGGGATGTTCAGTCCAAAGGTTGTAATTTAACCAGCAGTTTTTCAGGCCGCGTCCTATTGGTTTGTCCTCTCAAAATAGCAGCTTGGATTGTGTCCACTTCCAATAATTCATCTCTCCGGAGGTTTTTCCTCCAGCCAAGCTGCGTGCCCTTTTTGTTCGTAACTCTTCCCCATCCCTTTGGATTAAAAAAGGGCAAATTCTCAAGTTTCTGAAGGTGTTTCCTCCAAATGGGGAAACGAGAGGGTCTGAAAAAGAGGAAACGGTCTTTGGTTTGGAAAGCGAAGCTGGAGGCACGAGCAGTGCCCCGACGGATGCGCTCGCCCAAGAAAATAAAACAGAATCTGGGTCTGATAAAGCACCTGTGTGAATGTGCCGTATAAATGTACGTGTGATGGAGGCGCAGGAGCCGCTTGTTGATTAAAGGTCGCTCCCCGCAGTAATTGATAACCCAGAAAGTTTAGGGGCTCTGCGAGTTTTCTTTTCACTTTGGTGGCTGGGGACTTTTGCTCCTCTCAGCCCTGATAGGACTCTGAGAGACGTTTCACGCCCCGGCTTCGCTGAGGGTTTAGCTGGCTCTCTGTCAGTCTTTTATTCTGTATTTTTAAAGAAGTTGGGCTTTGATGTCATGATGTAAGCTGTAAGGTGGGGTTGGGGGAAGAACCGTTCGAGTTAAAGGTTGGGAAAAGATGAAATGGAGATAAACAGAGTAGAAACCCCCTGAATTTGGAAATTGGAAGCAATAAGGGTCTAGAACAGCCCTCCAAGAGCTTCAGTAGATGCGAGATGAGATGTGAGGAGGGTGAGCTGCTGTTCTACCAGGGCAGAAACAGAACTGATGATTCAAAAAGACCCTTTCAGTCCTTTACTCCCGTAATTTGCCCGTGGTCATCCGCTATTTCCAGCTCCCCTCCTGCTTCCGAACCTGAAAAGCCCACTTTGCGCCATATAAACTTGTAATTGCTGTTCCGTGTTATGTTTAGCAATTATGCGCTCTGCAGAGATGACGGAAAACTGGCGAGTTGGGACCATCGGATATTAAATTACGTTGTTCGGAGTGCTGTGCCGTCAGGCTCACAAACATCCCACTGCAAGCATTGAGAGAACACTTAGGTTCTCACCGCATCGAGCTGCGCCTTGACTGACTGACGGATTTTTACTGTTTTTAATTTTCCCTTTTGTTTTACCTTCGCTCTCTGAGCCCAGAGAGTGCTGGGACAGAGAGTGCTTGAAGTTTTAATAACGCTAATTACTCCAGCGTAAATCTCTGGGCCTGTGATAAACACGTAGCGGTAGTTATTAAGCCAGCAGCCTTGGGATGCTTTCCAAAGCAGAGCTGGGGCATTTTACCGTTGTTTATTTGCCCCAAAGCTACACTGAGATTGTGTGTAGGAACAGAAAGGAGGCCAGGGCACAAAGACCGGCTGTTAACAAGATGCACGGCAACGAGGATTTCATCACAGGGGAGGGTCACTGCCATCCAGGTCTGCCTGAAACCCAACGGCTTATTGCATAAGCTGAATGGAGGGCAGGGGGTGCGTGGGGTGAAAATGTCGAGACAGAGCCCAGAAAAGGCTCCGCTGAGACGTTAATCCTTCTGCTGCGCTTCCCAGGAGAACGCTCGTGTCTCTCCGAGCTCCCAAGGAGGGGGGGGAAAAAAGAGCAACTAATGGGAAACATCGGTTCACATCTCTCTCAGTCTGGATCAGGGAGGACGTGAACAACGCAGGAGAATCCCTCGGGGAGGGGATGGGGGCGTTAAGAGGATCCAGGACTTGGGTGTTTGTTTGAGCTCTCTGTGATTCCACGCGTTTCCCTGCTGTAAGGGAAAAACTCTGCTGGGACCGAAGGGTTGACTAAACCGGGAGAAACCGATGGGTCTCCCTCAGGGACTCGCCGCAGCCTGGCCGATGTGCTGATTGATGTCCCCACTTCAGCCCAGGACAGCAGCTCCTCAGCTGTTAACACCTGAGGACACCGCTCGGTGTCAAAAGCTGCCCGGCTTCTTTATTTTAATGACGACATTAGTTCAGTTAAAACATTGCAGCGTGAGAAAACATAAATCAAAAGCATTTTTATTTAATAAATACAATATTTTATTTAAAAATATCCTTGGCTGACTCAACGAGCTAAGAATAGCAACGTCACAACGCTCAGCGTCAATTATCTGGCGTTACGACATTGCGGGGAGGAGGAGAATGGGGACAATAAAAAGTGA